TCCTTTATTCTAATTCCTAGTGCTCTACCTGTCTCTCCTATGTATGTGGCTTTACATGTGCCATATTCTAGCTTATATACTCCGTTGTTTTCTAATTTATTTGTCTTGTCCTTGTTATTAATCAGTGTTTGTCCTATTGTATTGTTGCATCTTGCTGTCAGTTGTATGTTATATTTTCTAAAGGTTTCCTTAGTTTTTCAAAACAGTGTCCTTGATATGTTATGCTTCTGTATATTTTAGGGTTTTCTTCTTGTATTATGTTAAGTGAGGTATGATTTCTAAGGTTATTGTTATTTTGTTGTTTTAAATGATTTTGTCAATTATCAATGTTGGAAAACCATTATTGGTGCTTATTTGTTTTATGATTTTAATTTCATTCTTCAGGTTGTCAGTGTTGTTGTATGTGCACGTTCTATGTATGATCTCAATGAGGCTGTCTTCTGTGAATGTTCATGAAAAGAATTATAGGGTATTATTGTATCTGTTTATGTAATCTTTCTATATATGTCAAATTTGAATGTATTGTCGGTTCTGTCAATTGTCCAATCCAGGAAGTTTATTTTGTTGTCCTTTTCTTCTTCTATGGTAAATTTGATGTTTTCATGTAGTGAATTAATGTATTTATGAATATTGTCTATGATGGTTTTATCTTTGGTGTTTATAATAATGAATATGTCATCTACATATCTTTTCCAGAGTGTGATGTATTTATTATATGAGTTCTCGGAATTAATTATTTTGTTTCTCTCTATTTTATCCAATAATATGTCCGCTATCAGGCCACTTAGTGGTGATCCCATGGGAAGTCCTTCATTATAGGTGTATATGTTACTGTTGCAACGACAAAAATTTTGCAAATTATTGTGCAATTATGCAAATTTAGTTCAGAATGAGTATTAGACATTTTTGTTTTAACTGGAAAACTAGCATTTAAAGCAGCTGTGATTTCTTGTATAAACATGGAAAACTTGTCACTAATTTCCATTGCAACGCAATCTACAAATTCAAAGTTTATCTTTGCAACATTATTATAGAAAGTAAATAGACCAAGCTTTGTAACAGGTCTATAGGTTGTTATTTTTTTGCAACTGCGGGCTTTATCGGATCTATAGATTTAAAACAAATAGCCAAGTGGTCGGACAAGCATGAGCCAACAACACTGGCCACATAAAAACACTTGCGAATATTTGTGAAAACGTTGTCCAAACATGCAGCGTTTCTGGTATTCTCATAATTTGTCCTGACCAAGCTATAAGATCTGCATAAGGAACAGAGCATCTCCACCTCTCTACATACTTTATGAAAATGTACATTAAAATCGCCGGTCGGGACAATATTCCTATTCAACATTAGTTTGCTCAATACCATGTCCAATCTCGTCATAAAAGAGTCAAAAATGTGTATGTCATTATAATTAATCCCTGCAACCTCAAAGTCCACCTCATTTGAGTAACTCACAATATCAAACGACAAGGGCCTGAGGGATACTGTTTCTCTAGCATAAATAGCGACTCCACCATGTGAGTGCAGCGATCTGCAAAAACCGGAAACTATTTTAAAATCAGTTATCTTTACAATGTTAGATTCATTTTCATTTAACCAATGCTCGTTTAGGCATAAAATACTATATTTTTTATCTATAAGAAAAGCCTCGAACTTAAAATTCTGACTACGCAAACTTCGCACATTATAGTGTAGTATAGATGTAACCATCCCTGACATATCAACATCGCCATTACATAAGTCATTTACAATCGGATCACTTATAGCTAAGACATTTCCTCGTGTATACGCAAATTTGGAAAATTTTGAGTACAATTTTCGGAGGCACTTATTATTATTATTGCTGCCGGGCTGAGGAGAGCGGCCCCTCTCGTTACCGCGACCTATAAGATCTATTGTAACTTTAGCCCTCCAAAGGTTTAGGGCAAATGTAGGTCCTTAATGAACCTTAGTATTGTCCTGAGGTCTTGAACCTTTATGTCGGTAGGTAACAGGGGAGTTTTACCGAAGATGTTGTGTCTTAGACGGCCTCTGGCGACGTAATTGCACAGTATATGTTCAGCAGTTTCTGACTCGTCGTTACATAGTCGACAAGTTTGATCCTCAGCTTGTCCAATGTAGAAGAGGTGGTATTTGAGGGGCGCATGGCCGGTAAGGTAGCCTGAGAGCGTTCCCCTTTGCTGAGGCATAAAACCTCTTTGGTTTTGTTTTGCGACGGAGTTATCATACTCTTCGCTTGTCTGTGACCTGGAAGTTCTTTCCAGCGTAAGGCTATCTTTGAAACCTCCCAGTTGTTGATTATATGTTTTAGGTGGCTTGTTTGTAGTCCACAACCAGGTTGGGGTCCAATGAAGGGCGTGTTTGCTGCCTCTTTGGCCAGCTTGTCGGCCTTCTCATTGCCCTCAATGTTGCTGTGACCTGGAACCCACCATAGGGTAACATCATTGCCCTTAGCGAGTTCTCTCAGGTTGTTGGTACATTTTGTGATCAGTGCGGACTCTATAGGCCTGAATTGCCTTCAAGGCCGCCCGACTGTCTGTGAAAATGTTTATGGATGCACCTTTTTGTCCCTTCTGTAGGTTCAAAGCGGTGCAGAAGTTTATAGCAAGAACTTCTGCTTGGAAAATTGTTAAGTCCGAGCTGAGGGGCAATTTGATGTGGCTATTTGGTCCACTGATGCCCATGCCTACTCCAGATCTTACTGTCTTTGAAGCAACGGTGTACCAGGCTAGGGCTCCTCTTTTTTGTTGAGACCCTCCCTTCGCCCAATCATCCCTGCTTCTAAATATGACCTTATACGGTTGGTTGAAATTGTATTCCGTCGGTATGAGGTCCGTTTTAATTTCAATCAGGTGATTTAGACATGGGTCCTTGAGGATCTCGAGGTGTCCTCTGAGGTTACCCTGCATCAACTTGAGTGAAGAAACTGTTTTCAGTGATAAGACACTTAAGGCTGCCTCCTTTTGTATATATAAATGGAGCGGTGTGAGACCGAGTAGGGTTTCTAAAGCAGCCGTTGGACAGGATCTCATTGCACCCGTTATGTTAAGACATGCTAACCGCTGGATTTGTGCCAGCTGTTGTTGAGCTGTCTTATGTTTTGTTTTTGGCCACCAAACCAATGAGGCGTAGGCGACCATGGGTCTGATTATTGCTACGTAGGCCCAATGAGCCATTCGTGGTTTGAGACCCCAGTTCCTTCCTAGGAACCTGCGGCAGATCTGGTTTGCCGTGATGGCCTTTTTCCTCACCTTATCTAAGTGTGACTTCCAGTTTAGTTTACTGTCAAGTATTACCCCTAGGTATTTAGTTTCTGTTTTGAGGTTAATAGTTCTGCTTTCAATGGAGGGTGCTTTTATTTGTAGCTTCCTTCTCCGAGTGAAAGGGACTATCTCGATTTTATTGGGATTGATGCTGAGCCCATTGCTTCTACACCAAGTACTGGTGAGTAGTAGGGTTTTCTGCATCAGCTGAGTTATGATTGAATCATATTTACCTCGGATTGTGATTACCAGGTCATCAGCATACCCTTGTATCTTAAATCCGTTTTTAGTTAGGGTGTTCATCAAGTCATCAACTACCAGGCACCATAATAGAGGTGATAGCACTCCCCCTTGGGGACATCCTCTTAACGCCTGTATAGTCAGCGACTCGCCTCCCAGACTGGCTGTGATCTGTCGACTTTTCAACATGGCTATACACCACATGATTGTCGACGGATGTATGTCTTTTACGTTTAGAGCCTTCTCTAGGGATTCATATGAGGTGTTATCAAACGCACCCTCTATGTCTATGAAAGCACATAGGGTTGTCTCTTTGGTTGCAATTGCCTCCTCTAAAATGCTAGTCAAAGGATGGAGAGCGGTAATTGTTGATTTTGCTTTCTGGTCAGCATGTTGGCTAGGGTGGAGTGGATTTGTGACAAGCACTTCATTCCTTAGGTATTGATCGATTACCTTTTCCATCCCTTTGAGGAGAAATGAAGTTAGGCTAATTGGTCTGTATGCCTTGGGGTCCGCGTTTGAACGTCTACCACCTTTAGGTATGAAGACCACCTTTACTTTCCTCCATAGAGTGGGTATATAGCTAAAGCTGTAGCTAGCTACATATAGGGATATTATTATTGGGAGAAGGTCTTCTAAGCCTTTTTGCAGAAAGATAGGCAGAGTTCCATCTCCTCCAGGCGATTTTAGGGGCTTGAAATCGGGGGCACTTAGCAAAGGTTTGTTTGGTGCGCGATCAAGTTCGACCACATTTACCCTAATTAAGTTCTGATCATTGGAACAGCCAAGTTTCTTGCTGATATTAATAACTAATTTAGCAATATAAGATAATAATTTACGTTTACCAGACCAATTAAAGAATTAAAGAATTTGTTTCTACATAACTGTTTCCCGTAGGATCTATTTTTCGTAGATAATTATACATTTGCATATTAAAATGGTAAATTTGATTATTTATATTATCCTTCCCCTGCCAATAGGGAATCGACTCGCAAATAACATTTGTAATCTTTGACAGACTTTGGACAACTTTACTTGACTACTTTGGACTTTAGACAGACTTTGATTACTTTGGACTTTAGACAGACTTTTGACATACTTTGCGTATTTTGGACTTTAGACAATACTACTCTTTAGTATGTCATTACAACCCGCAAAAATTATTACATAATCGTTGCTCACGGAATTTATGGACTCCTGTATTTCTTCAATATATTTTAAGTCATAAAAATAACACCTTTCAATTATTTAAAATAGTACAATATTTCTAAGAAAGATTTTTTACAAATAAATTCAATTTGATTTAACAATTTTTCTTAGGAACAAATTTACGACGATATTTACTTTATTACTTCATTCGAAAAAAACGTGCTTAAAGCATCGTACGCGTTCAACCCAAAGAAAAATAGTTATCTAAACCATTTTTAAATAATATGTCAAACAGTAGCGAGAGTAATTAAATCCTAAATGACCTCCATTAACTAATACGATAGTGATTTATCTTTAGTGGGCGTCCACAATATCAAGTTCAAAGTCGAGTTTTTATTAGTTTAATGTAAGTGTTCTACTTTGTTGTTTATTAACGCTAAATTTAGACTGTAAAGAGATTGAAAGTATTTCAGAGTTTGTTTGTATGGTTATTCAAATCGAGGAAAAACAAGTTTTGCGAAACGTATTTAATTAATAATTTTCATCTAGCCGAGCGTTAATAATTAAAAAATTTACACATTTATGTAACTCGGATATTTCGCTGTGTGTCATAGGATTAAATTCATAATTTATTACCTTGAAATGTGATTATTGTAAACAATTAAAGCTAGATAGCTTTTTATACGAACATCTGTTTGTTTAGTTGCATAATCTTGTAAAATTATTCGATGAAATTAGATTTATTTTTAAATTGATTTTAATCTATTTCCTTTAAATAAGTAAATTAATTTATTATAATCTTAAAGTAATCGTTTCTAAACGTATTTAAACATAAATTAAAATCAATACAATTATAGAATTTATCTCTAGCCTCCTTATTTGTTTAATAACCAGTGTGTATTATCAGAAAAGATAAACGGATTCTATTGTGTCTGGCCACACACATATTTTTTACTTATTATTTGCTTTTGTGTTTCCAGAAATACATGTTTCATTTCTACATTTCATAAGTGGCAAAATAATAAAAATGGCACGGTGGAAAATCAACAAGAAATTACTTCCTATTAAAGCCCATTATTTTTTCTTCATGGCGTGTAAGTATAAATAAAATTAATTTGATGTAATAATAAATACAAAATTTATTCATTTTGTAGCAATGGGACCAATTTTGCCGCAACTAACCGTTTTCGGAAGAGAAATGGGGATTTCCCCGCTTGTTATGGGGACTGTAACCGGAATTTTGCCTTTAATATTTTTAGTGGCCAAACCGATTTTTGGAATGGTCGTTGATGTTTATAGAAATTACAGAAAAGCAATTTTTATGGGAATAATTTTGACGATGAGCATCTCGTTTGGGTTATTTTATATAATTCCGACTAGATCGATAAATACGTTCGAGAAAACATTGAATTGCGAAGAAGCAACTTTATGCAATGTTTCAGTTAGTAGTTCTAACAAAGATAGGTACTTTGGTTACCATTATAAATTTATTTAAACTAACTTTTTTTATCAAATTTGTATCAAAATTAAAAAAGAAAATTCGATCAAAATTAATTAATTTTTTTTTTAATTGTAGATGATTCAATATTCTTGTAATAACACAAAAGGAGTGACGTGTTATTGTTATGGACATACCGATTATAAATTTACTGGATTATTAATAAACAATAATGGCAGTAATGACGATCTTCACGTGTGTTACGATACTTATCCAATTTTTTGTAACGCAACTTGTAATTTACATTGTATCGAAGACGTTGAAATTCACAGTAATTGTTTGTATTCAACGCCCGAGTTTTGGATGTTTTTGATCTTTATGGCAATTGGAATGATTTCATTTAATGTGACGAACTCGTTGAGTGATGCAATTTGTTTTGATGTAATAGGTAAGAAACAACTTAATTTTAATTTAATGTTTTGCGTATTTTGAAGTATTATTATTATTATTATTATTGCTGCTTCCCTCTCGTCACCGCGACCTATAAGATCTATTGTAACTTTAGCCCTCCAAAAGTTTAGGGCAATGTAGGTCCTTGATGAACCTTAGTTTTGTCCCAAGGTCTTGTACCTTTATGTCGGTAGGTGTCAAGAGAGTTTTACCGAAAATTTTGTGTCTTAGACGGCCTCTGGCGACGCAATTACATAGTATACGTTCAGCTGTTTCTGACTCGTCGTTGCAAAGTCTAGAAGTTTGATCCTCAGCTTGTCCGATGTAGAAGAGGTGCTATTTTAGGGGCGCATGGCCGGTCAGGTAACCTCAGAACGTGCTTGGATCTCCTTTGCTGAGGCATAAAACCTCTTTGGTTTTGTTTTGCGACTGAGTTATCATACTCTTCGCTTGTCTGTGACCTGGAAGAAGTTCTTTCTAGGTGGCTTTTTTGTAGTCCACAACCAGGTTGGGGACCAACGAAGGGCGTATTCGCTGCCTCTCTGGCTAGGCTGTCCGCCTTCTCATTGCTCTCAATGTTGCTGTGACCTGGAACCCAGCCCCTAGCGAGTTCTCTCAGGTTGCTGGTACACTCTCTGATCACTGCAGAGTCACACGTGTAGGCCTGAATTACCTTTAAGGCGGCTCGACTGTCTGTGAAAATGTTTATGAATGCACCTTTCTGTCACTTTTGTAGGTTCAAAGCGGCGCAGAAGTTTATAGCAAGAACTTCTGCTTGAAAAATGGTTATGTCCGAACTGAGGGGCAGGTTAATGTGGCTATTTGGTCCACTGATGCAGGATTTTGAAGTATTAACTAGACAAATCATTAGGTATGAAGGATAAATTAGACATTCCTTGAACGTTAGACAATCAAGAAAGTTGAATCTTGACATAGGTTGGTCCCAAATTCCGTGCACATCTACGCTAACATTCATGGAATGTTTTGACTTTAGTTTTCGATATTCTAGGATTTATCAAAGTTATATGTATATGAAAATCCAATAATTACTATTTTCAAGTAGGATAGGGGTGAGTTACGGGAAACGGATGTTTTTCAAGAAAGAATAACTCTAATCACTAAACCAGGCCATTATGGAATAAATCATATCTGATAAATGTTGATTATTTTCACTAGCACAAATTTGAAGTCGTTTATGAAAGTTAGGTTTTGCCAAAGTTTTTTCGGCGATTTCTGCGATTTTCTTATGTATTTCAGTGTATCCACAAGTTGTTTCTGTAAGTCGTGGCATAATTTTAATCACAAATACTAGAGCAAAAATGATGGCATTCGTGTAAAAATTTTTGGTCTAAACCCATAGCCTTCAAAGTTAAGAAATTTCTAAACATTCTTTTTTCTAAAAACGCATCAATAGTACATTTTTCCATCATAATTTGGCAAAACTGTACCTACTCGCAACGGATGATCAGCAATTTTTAATTCTTCTATTGTCGACAAGTGGGATGGATACAATTGCAGTTCGTGTGGGACACGTCAAACCGTACTTTTGGATATTTCGGAAAATGTCTTCTTATATCAACAGTATTAGTACTACAACAGCACTAGTGCAGTAATAGTACTACGATCTGTCACAAAATCCAGAATGTTTTCTTCTAGTTCGGGTGTACAAACTGACCTCTGGTCGTTATTGTTGCATTTTCTGCGGTTGGGAAATTTTTTGCAATGTCTTTTCGCCACTGCATTAGCATTGCCTAAATACTCTCCCAACGTTAAAAATACTATGTCAGTTGCTAACTAAAACTGTGATTATTTACCATTTTAAACAATTATTAGCAATTAACGAATGTTGGGTAATAATTTGCCGGTTGCTTTACTGTTTTACTTATAATTTGTTTTCATAGGCCTATGATTAATGAAAACATTTCAAATCGAGGTGGTATCTTTTTGTGAATAAAATGATGCGTATAATCAAAAATTTCAAAGAGTGAACCTCATTTTAAAATGAAATAGGCTCTTAGAATCAGTTACAAAATTTAAGGGTTTACGACATAATAAAAAAGTTTTAAGGAAATAACCTTTGTGAACATCCTGTATAGCATTGATTCCGGGTTTACATATTTACAAAAGTAATCTTAAACGATTTCTTATGAGAACATTGCACTATTTTCCTAATTTAATCTTTCTAAGATAAATCATATTGAAAATGCTTAAAAATTTCTTAACTTTGAAGGCCCATATCTTAGCCATTTATGGATTCCCAAACGCTGTCCTTGCCAATCCCATCCCATTTTGTTATTTCGATGATCTGGTTTTCTTGGCCCAACTTGATATCGTGACCAAGGTAGACGCAGTGTTCTACAACTTCTATAATATGATTTTTTGTCGAAAACTAGGGAGCATCCGGTCTCAAAATTTTTGTCTTTTGAAGGTTTATCCTTACAGTTGGTCTAAGGATGCTGATACTTTATGGAGCTGTTCCAGTAATTTTCTTCCTGCAGACTTTTTAAAAGAAAAAAAATTTATTTATTTTCATAGAAAGAACCACTTTATTTACCAGTTAGCATGCACTCTTTCCANGGTTGCTTTACTGTTTTACTTATAATTTGTTTTCATAGGCCTATGATTAATGAAAACATTTCAAATCGAGGTGGTATCTTTTTGTGAATAAAATGATGCATATAATCAAAAATTTCCAAGAGTGAACCTCATTTTAAAATGAAATAGACTTTTAGAATCAGTTGCAAAATTTAAGGGTTTACGACATAATAAAAAAGTTTTAAGGAAATAATCTTTGTGAACATCCTGTATAGTATTGGTGCCGTATTTACATATTTACAAAAGTAATCTTAAATGATTTCTTATGAGAACATTGCACTATTTGCCAAATTTAATCTTTCTAAGATAAATCATATTGAAAATGCTTAAAAATGTCTTAACTTTGAAGGCCCATATCTTAGCCATTTATGGGTTTAGACCAAAAATTTGTACACGAATTGTCATCATATTTACTCTAATATATTGCAGTCACTGGATGATCTTTTTCAGCCATCTGCATCTTGTATTGCAACTTGTCCTGGCCATCGCCACTTCAGGACAGCAACCCTCGCTACTACATCTGTAATCTTCGGATCTCCTCATTGTGCACTCTGTCTCTGAGTCTGATCCCCAGCATTGCCGCCTCCATGGCTCGTTGGTTTGTCCTTTAGCTTTATTTCGTGAGCGCAGTGGTTTCTAGGTCACATGTTGTTACTGGTAGTAGGCAGGACTCAAACACTTTCCGTTTCAGGTTAATAGGCATGGCTGGATTTTTGAGGATGAACCCAAGATTCCCAAACGCTGTCCTTGCCAATCCCATCCCATTTTGTTATTTCGATGATCTGGTTTTCTTGGCCCAGCTTGATATCGTGACCAAGGTAGACGCAGTGTTCTACAACTCCTATAATATGATTTTTTATCGAAAACTAGGGAGCATTCGGCCTCAAGATTTTTGTGTTTTGAAGGTTTATCCTTACAGTTGGTCTAAGGATGCTGATACTTTATGGAGCTGTTCCAGTAATTTTCTTCCTGCAGACTTTTTAAAAGAAAAAAAATTTATTTATTTTCATAGAAAGAACCACTTTATTTACCAGTTAGCATGCACTCTTTCCAAAAATTGTTCATAGATTTCTACGATTTTGTTACATATTCTTTAATTCTTCAAGTACGCGTAGTTTTCTTTCATATATACATGATTTCTAAAAACTGATAGATATAATATAACAGATAAAATACGCGCATGGAAAGATCGGATGAGCGTGGAAAAACTAGAAGATCTCCAAACCGTGAAATCACATGATTAGGGAATGTAGTTCGAACAGCCGTCATGCAAGCTCAATCTGTGTGGGCAGTGGCTCTATTTTGTTGATTCGTCTTCTGCAAAGTTCAGGTGGGAAATAGGTTTCAAACATGTTGTTGGCATAGCGGTCTGAATTATTTATTAGTTTTACGTTGTGCCATAAGTATGCCGTGTTCTTGACTCTCCAGCGGCATGACGAATACTAAATGGAAACTGTTTCCTTCATGACGTCTTTCAAAAACATCCGCTTCCCGTTACTCACTCTGTACAACTGAAGATAGAAGATAGTTGATGGCATAGATGTAGACGTCTAAGTGGGTTAAAGTTTTTGGTGGTGATGTCAATTAAGAAATTGAAATTTGAAAAGTAGTTTCTTTACTAATTAATGTTTCAAAAATAATAGAAATGTGATCTTCTGGATAAATGCTTAACAGTGGTTGAATGTGGTTCCGCTGAATTAACAGAAGTGAAAGGTTGTAGATTTCTACTATTGGACTTTACTACTGATGATAAAATGAGCAAGTATTGATCACTGGTAACATCTGCGGCTTTTTTTTCTGCATTTGATCTCCCTGTTACAAATGCCGGCAAAGTCAAGTTCCTGTTTATATTTCTGTTTTACGAAATTCAGCCTAAATATTAGTTTGCGTAAGATCTAACGGTATAGCATTAGCAGTAATGGGTGGAATGTCATAAATTGACATGGTTTTCCTTGGAATGTTTCGTATCTATGCTAACATTTGTTGTATGACATCGAGTGCTTTGAGCTTATGACTTCGATGAATACGTTTTAACATCTCACTCTTACTTTCTTTAATACATGGTTTTCCCTCTTATACAAGGTGAGTTATTAGTAGCCCGGCGAATGATGGTTGTTAAACCGTTTGAGAAAGAAAAAAATGTTTTCTACAAAAGTTGTTTGACTCACCACTTTCTATTACTTAAAATTATTTTCATTTATACAGGATGCTCCATTTAGGCGTAACGGAGAGTATGTTGACTTTTTAAATGGAACAGATTGTATATTTTATCATATTATGAATAGAATTAAATTTGTTTATACAACCGTATATGTTACTAACTCATAGCGTTCATAGTTCCTGAGAATTGTTTTTCCAAAATGTGTCCATTTTAAAACCTATGCAAAAAGGACATTCTTTCCAATTTTGCCTTGAAACTGTGTCAGATAATAGTCAAAGCCAGTAGGTAAATCATAGTATCCAAAGATATTAGATACGCTATACAGCGTGTTCATAAAGCTTAGTTACTTTTGATGTTTTTCAAATGGCTTTTTCATAAAATTTTTTAAATGGTCCTTTAATTAATGATAAGTATGTCATATATCTAACTTCCTAGTAGTAGCTTTCCTGATATTTAGTATTTAAAGAATAATGTGTAATAAAATATGCGTTATTGTACTTAATATTATATTCTGTCTATTTTTATAAGTTTTTTTTGTTCTTCCGTTTGCATTTGCTTGTGCTTGTTTGATTAATATTTTATAATGTAAAATAGTTCTGATGCCATATACCAAATTTTAATGTGACTTGGTACTTTATGAGATTTAAAAAGATGTAAATAATAAAATATACAATTGTTTTGTCATATAATTTACGACTTTAAAGAAAATAAGATGCAAATGTTAAAGGATACCTCAAGGTCTTTTATACAGCGCACTAATGCTTGTAGAAGAGAATATGGGCGGCATTTTGAACAACTTCTAAATGTAAATTAAATTAATACCTACTTATTGAGCAACGTTTAGTAATTGTTTATAGTTTGTTGCTGCATTTCCTCCAAATAATTTAGTAATTAAAAAACGGATTTATTGTTTTGCCATTTAATTGTATTTTTTGTATTTTTATCACGTTTTGCTTATTTATTTATCAAAGTTTTTTTTTAAAGTGTATTTTGATATAATATATATATATTACTGGCTTACAAATGATACACAAACTAAAAAAAATCACATTCTGTCACTTTTTTAAGTACATTTTATTACACATTTTTCTTTAAATTCTAAATATCAGGAAAACTATTAAAGTTACACATATGACATACTTATCATTAATTAAAGGGAACTTGATGAGCAATTCAATTAGCACACAATATACAGGATGTTCCATTTAAAAAACTTATGAAAAAACCATTTGAAAAACATCAAAATTAACTAAGCTTTATAAACACGCTGTCTAGTGTATCTAATATCTTTGAATACTATCATCAACCTACTGGCTATGACTATTGTCTGACGTAGTTTCAAGGAAAAATCGAAAAAAAAATCGATTTTACATCGTTTTTAAAAAGATCCTGTAATGGACACATTTTGGAAGAACAGTTGAATATCTCAGGAACTGTGAACGCCGTGAAATAGTAACATATACGGCTATATAAACAAATTTAGTTGTATTCATAATATGATAAAATATACAGGATGTTCCATTTACACAAATTTACGTACTCTCCGCTACGGTTAAATGAAACACCTGTATAAGTGAAAATAATTTTACGTAATAGAAAGTGATGAGTCAAACAACTTTTGTATAAAATATTTTTTTGTTTCTCAAACGGTTTAGTAACTATCGACAGCCGGGATACTAATAACTCACCCTGTATATTTCTCTTATCTTATTTTATCTCTCCCTCTCCTTTGCTTTTAAGTGCTTCTCTATATATATATATATTTCCATTTCGGCAACGAAAGTTTTTTTCTCTTGTTCTCATTATTTCCTTTACTTTAACTTGCATGTGTGTCTTGCTCTTTCCCCCGTCCTCTTCTCCTTCTCCTCATCACTAGCGCTTCTGTCACTATAGATATTCATATTACTCTTTTTGTACCGCTACAGTATGTATTGTCTATTTATCTGGCGCTAAAACTATCGCCAGGTCGGCCCATTGTCGTAAAATCTTATTCAAACCTATCTACCACCTAAAGCGGGCCAAATCCAAAACACTTAAGTTTAAAGAAAGACGTAACTCGAAACATCAATTTTAAATTATATCTTGTGCATCACTGGACCTGTTCGATCACGGGTCTAATAATCTTTTCGGGGTCTTCACATCCCCGTTTTCGCTCCGTATGTGAGGATCGGCCTCACTAGCGGATTGTATATTGTTATCCTTGTTTTACGACTGAGGACTCGCGAGCAGAAGTGTCTCTGAACAAATAGCTGTTTGCGAAATTGAGAAGTCGTCTGATTTCATCCCTACATTCACATTCATTGGTAGAGTTCACGAGAGATCCAAGTACACAAAACTATCAACTTGTTCGAAGAAGTATTCGCCAAAATGAATTGTTAACAAATGTTTGCTTGGCGAGTCTCTAGTGGCAACCATGTACTTTCTTTTCTCCTAGTCTCTTACTACTCCAACTTACACTCTTCTAGTGCGATGAAACATTCCTCCAAGTCTATTTTACTGTGACCTATAATATCAATACCATCGGGGTATTCCAGAAGTTGTTCTGATTTATAAAAGATCGTACGGTCACTTTTTATTCCAATTTCTCGGATTGTCTTTTCCAGTGCTAGTTTAAAGAATCTCTACTGATAAGACCAAGTGCATGTTAATACCAAAGGAGCAAATAAGGTGCAAATTAGCAATCTACGTTCCAGGACATAACACGGCAAAACCACACAAACTAAACAGACCATATGGTCTATCAACAAGAAGAAGAAAAAGATTAAAGAGTAAGCATGAGAGTGAGTCTTCCTATCTCAGTCCTTGCTTTATTTGGAAGCTCTTGGAGACTGCTTGTATCGTAACAGATGATGTTATATCTGGTATTTTCGGTTGATTTAGACGTACGAGTTTCTCTGGTATCCCAAATTCTATCATTGCGTTAAGGAGAGCGGATCCATTGATACTGTCATACGCCGTTTTAAAGTCAAATGATGTGTCTTGATGTTATATTCAAGGGTCTTTTCCAGAATTTACCGCAATGAGTAAATTCACCTTCCGGGAGTGAATCCACACTGGTACTCGACCACTTCGTTAGCATAGGGGCGAAGTTTGCTGTACAGTATTTTGTATGCTGCTATCAGAAGACTTATTCATTTGTAGTTATCGCAGTTGAGAGGGTCGCCCTTTTTGTTCAGTGGGTATATTATTCCGCATCACTATTCTTGAGGCATTTCTTCCCTCTCCCATATCGATCTGATCAGATCTGATCTTTCTTATATAGTTCGCTGCATATTTCATCAAGCCCCGAAGATTTATTATTTTTTAGCTTTTTAATGGTGTTAGTAATTTCTTGTTAGGTCTTAATTGGTTGCATTGCTGGAACTGGTTTTCTTCCAGTTTCTTTTCAAAGTGTCTCAACGCTCGTCCCGTTTTCTCGTTTAATGTAGATTTTAGACAACTTATATCAAAGATATTTAGATTGAAAGTATGCGTTGAATTTCAATCACTTATTGGAACCCAAAAAAACGGTATTAAAAATGTTGGTAACATAATGATAATAATGATGTAACATGTAATTACATCATTATTGTATTATATTTTTAATATTTATTTCAGGTTTGGATCACGAATACGGAAAACAAAGAGTTTGGGGAACAATAGGTTTCGGTTCGACCGCCTTAATATCCGGTTACATCGTCAATCTTTTCTCCACCAACGCAATATCTTACAAACCAGCAATAATCTGCATGTTAATTTTTGTTTTATTCGATTTAATAGCTTGTTTTAAGTTAAAGGTAATTTTTAATAATTTTACATCTTTTAGAGATTAACATCTTTTTTATAGCTCCCTGTAATCGAATCACCCAAAAACATCTTCAGAGATTTAGGTCGCTTACTAAACAACAGCGATACCATCGTATTCATATCTTTTTCTGTTTGTGCTGGAGTAGTTGATGGATTTATAGTGTTCTTCTTATTTTGGTATCTCGAGGATTTAGCCCTAGCAAGCGGTACATTGAATATTAAATTAATCGAAGGGTTAACGGTAGCGGCCGAAACTTTAATTGGAGAGGTGGTCTTCTTTTATATCGGGGGTTTAATTTTGGAACGTTTCGGGCACACAAAAACATTCACCATGTGCTTTATCTTTTACGCATTACGCTTGGGATTAATTTCAATCGTTCCAAACCCTTGGTGGATATTATTAATTGAATGCTTTATGCAAGGCCCCACTTACGCATTAACATATACGACTATTGTGGAATACGCTAATGTTATAGCCCCGCCTGGAATGAGTGCCACTTTACAAGGAATTGCTGCTGGGATGGATGACGGTTTTGGTGAGTTAATGTTTTAATTAAAATCTTGATTTTCCAATCAAATTTTTTATTTAAGGATATGCTATTGGAGGGATTTTAGGAGGGGTTATTTATAAATATTTGGGTGGTAGATATACGTTCCAAATTTTCAGCACTTTCGCGTTATTATGCAGCTTAATACACGTTATTTTACATAAAACCATCTTAAAGAGTCATTTTGACGAAGACGACCGAAAGGATGTTGTTTATCATGTAACTGAACAATCTAATTTAATGACAGAAAATAATCAAAAAAAATTGGAACATAATACACAAAATGTACAACAAAATGTTCAAGAAAATCAACAAAAAGATCTTCAAAATGTTCAAAAACTGGAACAAGTCACGTAAATAAATTGATTAGATGTAAATCAAATTTTTTTTTAATTTGTTTTTATACCTTAATTGTCGATGTAATTGTGTAAAAATAGAAGATAAAGAATGGGGAAACGTCGCGCAACATAGAACAAAGGTCTTTTAGTTTAATGGATGAATTAGCAAGTTTATAATTTGTCGGTGTCTACAGGGGTGGTGGTTTCGTGATATTGGGTAATTCCGGATTAATTTTTGGAAAAGTGATTTGACCGGAGCGCGTCTTTCCCGGTGAATTCGTTCGGGAACGTCACAGCTGTTTCTTTGCTGCCTAATAATAGAGGGCTTAATTATTATTAAAGGGTTTAAGCGAAATAACTTTTAAAACATCTTTTTTAGCTGTATTGAAATATATATCAAGTGTGCTTCAAAAATATCTTGATTTACTCGTGTGACGATTGCAACAAACATCCCAGCAACAAACTTTTACCCATAATTTCCTTATTATTAGAGATAACGAAAAACTAAATGCACCACTTGAAAGCTTGAATCTTTCTCTATCTAAAACCCGGCTCAAATAAATCCTGCTCATATAAGAAAGTTATGGCCAGAACAAGGTTTAAAAATGGCTAAAACGTATGAATTTAGCAGTTTTTGGCCAAAAACGTACTTGTGCAAGCGCGCGATTGCCGCGTGTTATACACTACTAGAAAGAGCAGGAAATTTTCGATAAGATAGATATACTTCTATAGTTTTTCCCCTATCAAATAAGGAAGTTGTTTAGAGGAAGAGTATTTAAGCGTTTCTGCGTTGAGGGATACAAAGTACACACAATTGTGTTTTAGGGCTAGAATGATGTAATTTCCGGATAAAAAAACTTTTCTTTAGCAGGTACTCCTTTAGAGTTAATATGTCTTTTGAGGGATCCGGTTGAAAATTTTTTGAGAGGCTTAAAAATTAAGAAAAAAATAAATTACTGAGATTAAGTGTAGGCACACATGGTCGATTTTTAGTCGGCCGATAGTTTAGTCGATGGACATAAATGTATTAAGTTTAAGTTTAATGTAGGTGCGCACACAATGCGACTGCAGATCAACTCGATTTTTTAATCAAAAGGAGTCGATGTGCACTTATGATTAAAAAGTTGTGCAACTATCGTACAACTGCAATAATGCCACAGCTTCATATTGAAGCGCACACACAGTCGATAGTTTAGTTGAGCTTTTTAGGAATTTAGGTTGCGCGCGCAACTTTAGTGAGGGTTGAAGTGTCTTCTCTAGTATAACATAAATCAATTACTACTTTAGTTTCTCTCAATTATTTTATGATAAGTGAATTTATATCAAAAATTAAGTTAAATTATTTTCCGTTTTACTACCGCAGTTAATTATACACTACACTAAATACAGTGTGTTAATTAATTATCGTACCCAACGTCATCATTGCAAGTATGCAACCAATATCACAGTGCAATACGCATCATACGCAAATCGTGTATTGCAATACCAATATTGTGATAATGGTTGCATACTTTCAATGAAGACGAAAATAAGTAAATCAATTACATTATTTCAAAAATTTGAATTATTTCCAGGTATTATTCAATATTCAATACAATATAAATACAAGTTGTTTCGAAATCGATATGTGTGTGCATACAACACGATTTATGAATATCTAAACAATTTAGTCGGTTATAAATTGATAATGCATCGCGATTTCAAACCAATCCAACTAAACTGTTTCATCGATGAATAATCGACCATGTGTGCCTACCCTAAGTGAGTTTGTGTATAAAATACACGTACGCGCCTGTTCATGTTATTCACTTAATTTTTACTCGAATTATTTCTTTATTTTTATTAAGAAAGTTAAGGAATGATAATTTGAGAGATGGATTGTTAGATTTTTGGAAGAGGAACCTAAGGAAAGTATTGACGACAGCGATATATCCGATGAAGAAGAAAAAATTGCTCGAAGTGAACATGATAGTCACTCGGAGAAAGTGAAATTCCTGCAGAATTTTTGCCAAATAAAAATCGTGAGCCTCAATCGTCTTTATTTGGCTTTCAAAAAGATACTATTATGTACCAAGAAAAAACAAAGCAGTTATATTGTTATCAACGATGCACGACTTACCGGAAGTTGACGAAGAATCACATAAACCCAAAATAATTTTAAGTTATAATCAAACGAAAGGAGCAGTAGATACAGTTGATAAAGTGTGCGCTGCCTAGTCTATTTCGAGGGTCACTAGACGATGCCCATTAGTCATGTTTTTTACGCTCCTAAATATAGCGGAAATAAACTCGCAAATATTGTATATCACAAAACATTCTACGGGAAATCAGCGTCGACGAAGAATTTTCTTAAGTAATTTAGCAATTGCTTTAATGAAAGAGCAACTAATTATGAGAGCTCAAATAATTTTGCTGCCAAAGGATATTCGAGCGTTTTTGCAAATATCCTACAAGGACGAGTGCGGGATGTTGGAAACACAACCAACTCAATCTAGAAAACGAGAGAGGTGTAAATTCTGTACAAATACAAATACTACACAAAAATGTTGTAAATGTAAGCAATTCATATGTAAAAAACACTCAAAAACAATGATAACTTGCTCGACTTGCGAAATGTATTCAGACTGTGACTCACAATTGATTCATTAGTTGTCCATTATGTTATTGTAAACACATAAAATACAACAATAAAGTGTCGTGTATTCTCTGTACTGTTTTTTTTTCTGAAATAACATGTAAATTTCCCCCAAACGAAGAAATTTTCCTATGTGTAGATTGTACACTACGCGTCTGCTCGTGTAATAAAAATAGGCGCGCCTGCCGGAAGGTTAAGGGTAATTTCAGCATGACACCGATAGATATTGACCGACGAAAACCCGGATTAAGATAGTTGAAGGAGCGCTCTTTCTGACTGTGATAACAGTTTATTAAAATTCGGTTTTATAACATTTGCACAAGGCCTTGAAGTTTGGTAATTTTGAGCTATTTTAAGTACAGACCGGTGTTCTTCATTTTTTATTGATCTTAATATCAACTTATCGGCAGACCAAAAAAAGATTCAAGCTTTCCAGTGGTGCATTTAGTTTTTCGCTATCTGTAATAATAAGGAAGATATCAGCTAAGAAAGTAGATAGGAAATTTCGCGTAAAAGTTTGTTGCTATCGTCGCACGGGTTCTTGATTTTATTTGAAATATAGTGTTACACGACTTGGTTATATTCCACTTATTTCAAGAATAAACATGTGAATACTTCGCAAGCATTGCGAGGATATCTAACTGGCAGCTTTATAGTTGCTTTTTATTTTCACATTATTTACATCGTCATAATAAATTTTTAAATGACATTTTATAAGTACAGTGGGCCGCAAAATTAAGAAACATATTCAATAACAAAAAAACTTTAAAACTTTATCACCACTACCTAATAATTACTTATTACAATCAACTACATTGTTTTTTCTTCTTTTGATATTTGTTTTCGCATATAAACTCTCAATATAACTGAGGTTATATAAAGCTAGGTGTCCACTTGAGAGAAACTTCTGAGAGTAACTCTCGATATCTACTCTCAACTCTGTGTCCACTTGAGACTGTTTTAGCTCTCCGAGAGCTTCTATAAAACTTCCGAGAGCTTTCTCCCAGACAGTTCTCTCAGGACCGTGTCCACTAGTGAAATGTGTCCGTGCTATGGAAAGTAAAATTTATTTTCTTTCAGTACTTGGTGTTTGTAAACATGGATGTAAACAAAATTGCAAGTGCAATAGTGTTGTACAAAATTTAAAAAAATAAAAAGAAGCTGTTGGGTGAAATCATGGATTTGGCGTAGATTAGAGCTGGGTGTCAACAAATATCAACATTCACATATTTGGCATACTGGATTCACAAAAAAGTTAACTCGATTGGTTTAATGGCACTTATAAATGCAAACTATAAGTTATATAAGCTATATATATATATATATACTATAAGTTATAAGTGATAGCTTAATAGTGGCTTGGCAGTATTTTGGAAAATTATTAGAAAATATAAACTTAAACGCTTCAATTGCTGAAAGAGACTAGATATTGCTGGCAGAAGACTAAGAACTACTAATGAAAGACTAGATGTTGCAAACGAAGCAGATTCTTCTTAAAGAAGACTGCACACTACTACCAGAAGACGAAATACTGTTGGTAGAAGACTAGATATTGCTGAAAAAGACTAGATATTGGTGTCAGAGGACTAAGTATTGCTAGTGAAAAACTAGATATTGCAAATGAAGCACATCCTTCTTACAGAAGACTACACACTACTACTAAAAATCAAATATTTTTAGCAGAAGACTTAATTTTACTGTCAGAACACCAAATTATGTTGTCAGAAGTTACTATTACTAATGGTACAAATCCCGTTTAAATTTCTGTCCAATACTTGTTAAAATTGCATCCTTCGCTTCCCGATTTCTATGTTCATTAGATGTGATATTCCAAAGAATTGAATTTTCTTCATACACTTCAATTAATTCAAATATTTCTTCTTGGGACTATTTTCTTTTAGGTGTTATCTTTAAACGTGTTATATTGAGAAAACTCGCAGCAAAATTCGAACCGTGTTCGGTTTTTGACAGTTACTCTCACGATAGATAAATTGTGCATGTCCACTTGAGTACAAATCTCAATGTGTTTACTCTCCGAAAGTTTGTGGGGACTCTCTGATTGTTACACTCAGATGCGTGTCCACCAGAAAATATACTCGAGAGCATTTCTCGCAAGTGGACACTTAGCTTAAGGATTTATAATCATAATAAAAACCCATAAAGTTGTTAAATGAAAGTTTTAAGTTATTAAAATTTCCATCAAATTGCATACCCGGAACTATCAGTTGTTTTGTGTATTGAATTTAGCCCAAAATTCCAATAAACCAGCACAAAACTTCTGCATATTTTACTATTAAACATGAAATTACAATTGTCAAAACACATTGGCTGAGTTCATTCAAGCCTTTACAGTTTTAAAACTCTAAAAGGGCTAGAACAC